TAGCTTATCAGCTAGCTATGACGCGCCGAACATAACCTTAATCATTAAGACATTGATTATTATTATTAGTTTTTTTTAAATGACAAAAAATTGTTATGTAACCTTTTAATTGAAACTGTTGGTTATGCTGAATGTGTGACTAAAATGAAAAGATAAAATGATGATGCCATCTAACTAGATACTAATATAAATTTTAAAAAAGTTAGATGAAATGATAAAAATATTAAAAATAAGGATCTAATATAAACAAAATTAAAACCTTATTGTTCTCTTTAAACGGTTATAATAACCATGTTTGTGTCATATATATAAACAAAAACTTAAGAAATTAAAACATTGTTACTTTCTTTAAATGGTTATAACAATTAGGTTGGTGTAATATGTACAAAAAAACCTTAGAGGCTTGATGTGGACAAAATTAAAACCTTATTAGCCTCCTAGTCATTAACCCTTTTTGAAAACTTAGTGGTTTTTTGTGCTATTTGCTCATAGCTAACCTTGCTTTTTAGAATTTACTATTTGTAAGGACTAAATTTACTAAAGGAAAAATGATAGAAATGTCCTACAAACTTTCTAGGGTTTACACATTTAATCCTTAAGTTAATTTCGGGCTTTATGAGTCCTTAAACTAGGATATGATATGCTCTTTTGGTCTCTGTTAACCTGTAATAGCAGGTTCAGTGACATTTTAGACCAAAAAAACTCACATTGTGCCCCTCTAAAGCCAAAAGGTTAAGTTTGGGGATCAATACGAATCAAAAAGCTCTCATTTTCTTCTAAAGTAGATTTACACTCAATTTTGTACCCTCCCAAGAAATCGATTACTACTCTTCTTTCTGTCTTCACCCTCAATCGTCACACATACTCACCAGAGATCACAACCCTCTTCCCCTTTCAGAAAATGAATTAACAGGATACATTCCTGACATTTTTGACGAAATGAGAGAACTCAAATCTTTGGATTTGTCTGTGAACCATCTTGATGAAAAAATTCGCTTGAGCGCTACTAGGTTAACTACTCTGAGTTTGTTGAACGTATCATACAACCATCTTAATGGAACAATCCCGACAAGGCATCAACATCAAACCTTCAATGAATTTAGTTTCATTGGAAATGATGCACCTTGTGGATGTAACATCCGGATTTCCAAGTATCATATTTTAATTGTTTATTTTGAGTTATGAGGAGGGACTCGACGAGTTGATGCGTAGACTCATCAAGTAGGAACGTGATTTGCTGACTGGATTAATGAACGGACTCGACGAGTCGATAGGTGGACTCGACGAGTCCGCGCTGAGGTCAGAAACCCTAAATCTCTGGGCTTGTGCCCTATTTAAGGGACCTTATAGCCCTCATTTGCGGCTACCAGTCTAGAGAGAGAAACCCTAGAGATCTTGAGCGAGTTGTGTGAGAGAGAGAGCTATTTTGATCCTTTTTGTTGTAGCTTTGCAAAGAAGAAGGTGTTTCCAACAAGAGAAGGTCAAGGGGATTGGGATTCTGTGGTTTTCAAGCTTGGATCTTCATTGTTGAGGTAGTAAATCGATCCCTTCTCCTGTGTTGTACAAGATCCTTGAATCTAGAGTTTTCTCCACCCTTTATTGGCTTGAATTGATGCATATGTTGTCCCTTTGAGTGTTAGACTCTGGATCTAGACCTTTAGAGGTCCAGAGAGCATTATATATCCTGCTTTATGTTGTTCCATGGAGGAAATGAACCTATGATGCCATTTTAGAAGCCATTCACCAAAAGAAGCCGTGGGTGCGTTGCATGAGTGTCAAGATTTGACCTTTACGTGATTATTGGACATGGGGACGTCATATCTATAGGTTAGAGAAGCATATCTGACCTCAGAAAGTTGTTTGGGTGATTGTCATGGAAGAAACTCATCGAGTCCATATGGGAACTCAACGAGTCGAGTTGGGTTGCCCCACGACTCGTGACCAGTAGTAGCCGTCGAGTGGAAGGTTCACTCAACGAGTCGAGGGAGGTTTAGAAAGATCCAGAGGACACGCTTGGTTTCGCCGAGTCACCTATGTGCATTCGACGAGTCTGGTCAAAGTTTGACTGTTGACTTTTGTTGACTTTTATGGTTGGGTCAACACTTGGACTTTTGGACCATTAGAAGGGTAAAACGGTCTTTTAGCCTTCTGAGAGAACATTGGAACTGACTAGTCTAGCCTGGAGAGCCGTTATTGATTTGAGATGATTGCTTATGTGTTTAGGTGGGGTTAGGTCATTGTTGCGAGGTTCAGGGATACCGAGCACGTGAATTACTAGACAATATACGAGGTAAGTCTTCTCAGTATACTTTACCTAGAGTGGTAACTATGTGTGATCGGAAGGTCTTATATGTTATGCGGAGTATGTAATATATGTTGCTATGTGATATGTATGTGTTATGCTATGTTATGAGCAGCATGATATGGACCGGAAGGTCAACAGTGTATGGACCGGAAGGTCATACGGGGAGGGCCGTAAGGTCTACCAGGGTTGGGACGGAAGTACCCTGAGACACATGGACCGGAAGGTCCCATAGAGTTATGGCCTTGAGTGGCGTGTGTGTTGTATGTGGTATTTTGGGGAACTCACTAAGCATTTATGCTTACAATGTTATGTGTTATGTGTTTCAGGTACTAACGATGATCGCGGGAAGGCGCCGACATGATCCGTACACACTGGCAGAAGATTTATTTTATGATCTTGGGATATGTTTTTATCATGATGATATTTGTTAAACATGAGATTTGAAAATATTTAATGAGTTTTATGATATTTGAAAAATGAAAATTTGTTTTGAAAATTTACGTTGTTACAGTGGGGCTCCTCTTCCAGGTTACTGACAAAAAACAGATGATACCAAGGGAGCTAATGAGGAACATGTCGAACCTGATGGCACTGATTGGATCCTAGGGATATGTATGATCGTTGGATTGGCTGTTGGTTTCTAAATCACGATTGGCACGTTGATTGTCAGCAAATGATGTAGAATGCATATTATCATTTTCTAGATGAAATGAGGATCAATGCAGGTTTCATTCTTCTCGTATCCATATACGTAATTCTTATCCCATAATTGTAGTTTTTCACCTGAATTCTTTGTTACAATTGCGAGTAAAATTATTGGTTGCTTTCTAGGTTTTGAAATACAAACAAAAGTAAACGTATACTCTCAAAGATTATTTGTGTGTGTGTCTATATATATATATATATATATATATATATATATATATATATATATATATATATCGTAAAATTTTGTTCATCTACATTTGATGAAAACAAAAGTTTAAAATCTTTACACGTAAAAGTGTTTTAGGAGGAATAAACCGGAAGAAAAAAGAAAGATATAACCATATTTATATAAGGCTTTTCATAAAGTTATCAAATATTTCCACTTTTTATAACATGACGATCACTTAAATCATTATTTGTTACGAATTCATCCCCGAACTTATTTTTTGGCTTTATAGGGGCACAATGTGAGTTTCTTTGGTCTAAAATGTCTCTGAACCAGTTATTATTACAGGTTGGCAAGGACTAAAAGAGCATGTCATATCCTAGTTTAGGGACCCATATAGCCGGACAAAAACTTTAAGAACTAAATGGATAAACCATAAAAAGTTGAGATAATGACTTAAAAGTGTAATGTATTTTATGATTTGTACACATTTAGTCATTAACTTTTATTTTGTCCACATTTACCCCTTCAACTTGTTAAACTGTACACATTTAGTCCTTATGATCTGTTACTCCAGGTTAGCCGGTAAAAATGACTTAATAGGGTAATATATTTCTCAGTTTTGTACACATTTAGTCCTTAATTTTTTTTGTACACATTTAGTCATTAATATTTTTTTTTGTTGCAAAATAAGTCATTTTTGTGTTTGTACTCATTTAGTACTTATGAGTGATTTCTTTAGGTTTTTCTCACGACATCTTACGTGAGATAGCCATATGGTGGTGGGATAAGTTGAGGTGGTTCTACTATATGTTATAGGTCATGATACCTGGTGCGAGCCGGCTGTAAGGTGTAGGCACGGAGGCTCGAGAAGAGCGGTTGGGTGAAGGCGGCATGCCGACAAACTGTCGATATTCCAGTCTGATGATTGATTGGACCTGTTGCATGTTGGCATTCCAGTCTGATAACTGATAGGGCCAAAGTATTCCAATCTGATGAGTGTAGGCTCGTTATGCATGATAATACATTTGTTGTATCAAGTATTTTGGGTAAAATTCACGAAACTTTGTGCTTACCCAGTTATTTATGTTTTCAGGTTCTATCGTTGATCATGAAAATGCGAAGACATGATTGTAAACACTCATCAACAATATTGAAGATTCCACGTTTCTTATATTACTCTGGTTTTCGATAAATGTATTTTGGAATAAACATATTTTCTTAATAATTGATTTATATTTAGGGATTGTCTTATTTAAAAATGATGATTTTTTGTGGTGAAAATGAGACGTTACACATAAATATCAACAGCTTCACACACTTCTTCAATTATTGACTCACGTAAGATGCCGTGAGAAAAACCTAAAGAAATCATTCATAAGTACTGAATTAGTACAAAAACAAAAATGATTTATTTTGAAACAAAATATATATATATATATATATATATATATATATATATATATATATATATATTAAGGGCTAAATGTGTACAAAAAGAAAAATATATTATCATATTAAATTATTTTTCCCAGCTAACTTGGAGAAACCGGTCATAAGGACTGAATGTGTACAGTTTAACAAGTTGAAGGGGTAAATGTAGACAAAAAAAAATCTGTGACAAAATGTGTACAAATCGAAAAATATATTACCCTTTTAAGTTATTATCCTAAAAAATTTGTAGGGTAGTTATGTCATTTTTCCCTTTCCTAAATTGCTAAGGCCTATGGCTGCTCTTACCCTTTACACCTAATAAATGAATCTTCTTATTCTAATTGAAATGAAGAAAAACAAAAGCTGAAACTTAAGTACTTTACAAACGATCGTCATAGATAGGGGGAAAAGTAATCTCTTTGATTCGTTTCAAAGACCACGGAATAACCAACAATACGAACAAGTAAAATAGTAGCATCTTGTACATTGCAAATACCATACAAGACACAATCCTCACAAACTTTAATACATCAAAAGCACAATTTTGTCTATTTACAAAACAAGATGAACAACAGATTCCAATTTCCAACTCATATGGGCTGCCTCTTCAACTCCATTCATCATAAAATTATGCATAAAGTGGAAGATAGCCGCGAGCCTCTAAAAAAACGAGTTCTTAACAGGAGACCTTCCCACAGCCTTCATCAAGTTGGCTACTTCAAGAACCCTAGCAATTTTTGTTCCCCTCTTTGCCTCTGCTGATGCTCTCCGTTCTTCAGCCTTATGATGTGCTTTTGCTATCTCATTCTCCATCTTTTCCAACGCTCTTGCTCGCTTCTCTTCAAGCTTTCTCTGCAACAACAGAAAGTTAATTAACAACAAATCAAATCAACTCAACATATATGTTTAATACATAGAACTTGACTCAATATATACCTCGACTTTCTTCATTCGTAAGGCAGACTGTTGAGTCTGCTCGCTTTCCCAACCTTTGATTATGGCGTCCTCACACTTAAACCTATTGTTGATCTCAGCAACCTTAGCATTCTTCCATGCTGTTATCTTGGATTCAACCTCTTCCTTCTTGAAGCTTGTCACAGACACCAACACCTGATCATCTCGACCATGGTCAGCAGTTACAACAGAACCACGATCTCCTAACACAGAAGATAAGGCCGCCGAAGGATGTAATCCGAAACCCCAGTTGCCAGAATGATCGTTTTCAGCTATGTTGCTCCTGCTCGCTATGGGTGATCCTGCGAGCACCAGTGTACTATTAGTGACACTCATATTTGAAAAACCTCCACGTGAAGCTCGATCACTTGTAGTCATGGAAAGAGATGAATGAAGAGGGGAAAACGGTGGAGTCAAAGCATGTACATCCCTAATATCTTCATCGCTATAAAGATCTTGGACGCTTCTATCATAATCAGACATTAGTGGGGTTAATTAGAGCACTTTCTCAGTTTAGTATTCAAAAAGGGTGTAATCACTAATCAGATGGACAAAAATACGCATTAAACAAGATAGACAAGAGATCACAAGATATTGATATGCAATGTGACATCATAAAGTTTAATTTACTTCCGCGTAATTGACTCGTCTTCATGATGTTTCCTTTGCAGGTTTTCTTGATTAAATTACTCCAACTTTTTCTGCAGTTGGTGGGCGAAAAGGATTTGAATATGTGAAGGTTCATGTCATGGGTCCTCCATCAACAGTTATTTTTAAGTGATTGGAGTGGTTTGATTAAAGCAATATTAAAGATGGATATAAAATTGACAAAACGCGTTTTTTGTTTCAATTTCGAATATATAATAACGACTTAACGGGTCACAGTTTTGTAAGTGTGGTTATTTTTTAAGAAGCACCATTCTGGTAGCTCCACGTTTTCATGTGTTACTTGTACCTCCAAATGACCCGACATGATAACTATACCACCACGTAAACCTTTTCCTTCGCAAAATACTTTGGGAAAAGAGGCCGACATATAATTATCGACCTGGAAAACATTATCAAGGGACAAGTAATGTAACATCCTAAATCTATACAAATCGGTCATCTTGATTCAGTGATTCTTGAACACGGATTACGTAAAAGTTTAAAGAACTATACTTGGGCTTCTATTTAAAAATTTAATGTTAAATAAATGTGTTGCGCCTGAGAGTATTTTAGCCCATAAGAAGGTTAGCCCAAAAAAGTTTATTAAGCCCATTCATTGAAAATAATGCTGGCAATATGAAAAAGCTAATTTATTTGTTTGATTAAATTATTAAACTAATTAATGAAAATATGCATTTTCTAATGATTATTATTACACAAAATTTCACGATTGGTTTGTATAGTTTGCAAAAAATTATCACTTTAAGGATAACTATCAGAAACGTAACATTTGTTCTCATGGTTAATTTATTTTGTTGCATTGTTAGTTTTTCGGACGTTAAATCTTACTTTTGAAGTGTTCATTTTTTTTTTAAATGACTAATATACTCTTATACCAAATAATCAAATATGAAATTTTCAATAAACCTATAGGATCATTTTTGTAACTTATTATATATAAACCTCCGAAACCATTATTTTTAGATAATAGACAATACATAACATGTATTTCATTGATACCACAATGAGAAGAGGTGCAATTGCACATCATCGGCAACCACTTTGACTCCCCGTCCCTGCCACCGCTTCTCTTAATCGGCCTCACTCACACGAGACTCTACTCTTTAGTTTATCAATGTTTCACTCCTCCGATCCACCGCCCTACCCCTCCCATCTCCATATCGAAAGGCGTTTCTGAGTTTTTTTATTTGTTTTCATCTTATTCGTCCCCAAACACACCGGACCCGTTCGTTCATTTTCTTAAAATTATGTAGTTGATTCACATGGCGAAGGAATTCCTGGTGGTGGATGGAGAAGACAAATGTAGTGAGAAGAGAAGGGATGAGAGGAATAACGAAGAGGGAGGGGCATATAGTAAGAAGGAAGTAAGGGTGGTGTGAGGGTATGGATAAAAGAAGAATACATTTAATTGAAAAATAACAAAAATAATATAGAAGGATAAATTAGTTATTTCACATGTATTTAACCTTGTTACTAATAAAGTTAGCTAAAATGACCAACCATAAAAGGTTTTGAAACCACAAGTACCAACATCATAAGGCTTCTGATAATTATCCTCAAAATAATATTTTTTGTAAATCATGGGGAGCATTCATTAAGTTTTGTTTTATTTTGTCTTTATTATTATTATAATATAGTCGTATAGGATTAAAATGCCCACCTTCATGGTTGCATGTGACTTTGACAAGTGATTTGCATTCATATTTGTCGGATGGAAAGGATTAACACATGATATCTAAGTTTTTCTTCATGTGATGGAGACATCTTCTATGAATTTTCTTAAGCCATCTGAAGGTACAAGTAGTTTGACAATCCTTAAAAACTTGTGTGTTAACCACTATTTATAACTTTATTTTGACATCTCCTTTTTATAGGAAAATATATATAGTGGACAAAAGATATCGTGACTAAAAGGATATATGACATTATATTCATGTATTAGATATCATCAATCATGCCCTTCCAAATAGTGCCTAGGCTCTAGTTGTATATATTCATCTCTTTGAAGTTGTATCCAATTGTTCATTTGGAATACTAAAGAAGAGGTGGAATATCAAACAAAATGTCAAGCTTTAACAAGATGACACAAATAGATGTGATAATAACATCATATATTCATATACTCTTCATAATACTATTCGAAGGAATGAATCAACAAATATGATTTTTAACATTGTTTACAAAATATATATAAACTATGGCTCTAATTCCTTAAATGTCAGGATTGGTAATAAGAGGATTAAAGGAAGCAAGCCATTATAAAAAGATTCAAGTTCATGTTAACACTCGAAATTTGTTATAGTAATGAAAATATGATGTGGCATTCAAGGAATGTGTTTTAAACCTAAAAATGATTGGAGAACTCTTTGTTATTAATTAGTATAATATGATGAAATATGAGATATATTTTAATAGCATTTCATATAATATGACGAATTATATTATCCGGCCACAAGATAGCTACATAAAATCTAGCACAAATATCGCAAATGCAAAGTTCACTACTTGTAGCAAACTTATAAAACTTTTAACATCATAAAATAGTTTATAACCAAAAAAATGTACAAAATGTTCTCTAGATCACAAGCTTTCTAGCGATGCTAACACGCTCAAATAAGAGATTCATCATTGTGCATCAATCCAAACACGCATCAATTCACCTCCAACACTTGAACTTTTAGGGTACAAAACCTTTACTGTCCCCCAAGCTCATATGGGTGGGTGTTTTTTAATTCAAAATCATTAAAACAATACATGACAAAGGCATACACTATTCAAACCCGACTTATTTTTTTCCTTTCTATCTTTTTACACATTTTCTTATATATAATAGGAGTTAAAAGAAAGATCGTTTTGTAGGACCTCGTCCAACAGCTCTCATCAAGTTGGCTATTTCCAAAACCCTGGCCACTTTGGTTCCTCTCTTGGCCTCTGCGGTTGCTCGTTTTTCCTCTGCTTTCCTTCTAGCTTTAGCTACATCATTTTGCATCTTCTCCATTGCTTTTGCTCGTTTTTCCTCCAATTTTCTCTACACAACATACACCTTATGATAAGTTTGCATGTATATAGAATATAATATAAAACTTGCAAAGTTTTTATTTATGAAATATAAAATGGTTTTTACTTTTTATAATAGCACAATATATACCCCACCTGTTGAAATATAATATGTCTCTAATTTATCAACCAAATCTACTCATCTCCCAATTTGTTATTGGATCCTTATAACATGGAACTTTATGTTGTATCAAATACATTATAAATAGTACCCAATAGGAAATTATACGATTAGCTCTTTCCAAAAAGGAAAACATCAAATCATGTAGAAAAGATTTATAGGATAAGAACATAACAATCATAACATTTAAATTTTATTATTTAAATTATCTGATAGTTAAATGTTTTTCTTTTCATCTAATATCATAAGTTACGATAATGGATCGAAAATTTTAAATTCTATCATAAAATGTAAAAAGTATTGAGTACGTAATACGTATTTACCCTTTTTACCTATTTTGTGATAAGTCAATTAAAACTTGCAACAAGACCCCATAATTTTGTTTTATTGCACTTTAAGTACCTCGATTTTCTTCATCCACGAAGTGGACTTCTGAACCTGTTCGTTCTCCCAACCAGTGATGATCGCATCATCCCGCTTGAAACGGTTGTTGATCTTCGCAATTTTGGCGTTCTGCCATGCCGATATCTTAGATTCCACCTCCTCTTTCTTCACCCGTTGCACAGAAGACACATCGGCATGGGTACCCCCAGTACTGCTACTACTTATCAAACTCATCCCACCACCACCACCAGCGCCGCCGCCACCGCTACCAAGTCTTGTCGGAGAAGCCACCCTTGGATTATTATCCGCAACAATCGCCAAAGGATTGTTTTCCACCAGAATTTCTTCCTCCCTGATCCTCTGCAAGTTACTAATCGGCTCGTTGTGTTCATTAACATCTATGTCGTTTCCTGCAAGTACCAAGGCGTTAAACTCCCTACTCATGGTGGTAAAGTTTTCGGTTTCCGTGCTGCCTATGGAGAGATTTGATGATCTGTGGCTGGTTGTTTCCCAAGGTTCTCCCCGGCGAGGGTGGTGCGGTGGTTGTTGTTGTTGTTGTGGTGGTGGTGGTGGTGATAGTGATGGTGGCGATAGGGCATGTATTTCTCTTATGTTTTCATCATCTTCATCTTCGTCTTGTTGTTGTTGATGCTGTCTAGTGGAAGCTTCAATGAACATGGCGGTTTTAGAGACGAAGAGAAAAGCTCATGGAAATGGAGTAAAGGGGTTTGGATTATGATTTATGTTAAAGCAAATATGAGCCACACATGTGGTGGAAGTTGCATGGAGCGAAGGCTAACTAAAGGAAGCTACAATTTCCTTAACCCCATGGCTCAATACAAAACAAAAGGAGTGTTTTCTTTCTTATTATTTAAAAAAAAAAATTGTTAAAATCTTTAAGATGGACCAAGTATATTACGTACAACATTAAACCATAATTAAGCAAGAATACGATTATAACCTGTTTAATAAAGTGATTAAATTGCAAATTATAAGTCAAAATTGTAATACTCAAAGTTGATAAGAACAATTAACAATGAATATTAAAAGTTTAATGGTATATAGACAAGATATTGAACGTGTATTTGAAGTTATCCGATCATTGATCATGTACAATAGTCAAAGGATACGTGTATTTTTCTGGAAAAAGTATATGTAATTATTTGTTATATATATCGTCAGTGCACATATATTTAATGAATATTATATGATTATTGAAGATGAGCATGATATCATATGGAAGCGGTTAAAGATTTATACTGGAGCTTCAATCTTTGAAGCTGATGTATTCGAGAATCGAGATGATATAGTAAGGTAGATAGAATTTATAATAATATGAACAATGCATTTGTAGTTTACTTATTTTTATTTATTATTGTTATCGATAAATTAATTAGAATTTTTTTAATAGAAATTAATTTTTTTAAACGTCTGGACAAATAAGTCGAAGTCCACTAAACTTAGGTCGGAAAGGTGGCCACATATACCATTCATAAAATGTTACGTGTCAAAGATTTAGAATATTTTATTTTGCATTATTTTTTGTCTTTCATTATTATTTTAATTAATCCTTATTATTGAGATAATGCAGTTACCCCTTAAGTTAAAGCAGTGTTTTATTTGCATCCTCTGGCTATATTGAAATAATAAATCCGCATTCAGATTTAAAGTTTACCATTTTCATACTATTAGACATGTGACATGTGAAACATTCGTTTATATAGAGACATAACTGTAAATTGTAGATATTTACCTTTTTATTTCATTCCAATGAAATAATATGATTATATGAAAGCAAATGCTAATGCTCTTTTTAGTTTTTATATTAACAAACGTAAAACAGACGATTGTCTCAAGATTGTTGAGATTTATTTTTCAGTTTAATTTCATATGAAAGAAAAATATTTGATGATAGTGGTAGATTAGGACATATGTCTCCAAACATCTTTATATATTCAAAAAATCTCCATATATTTTTATTTTTGTTTTCTTTTATAATACTTTAAAACTGTCGGCCAAGATCTATCAATCTGGAGGGCCCACATAATTAGGTGTTTCATCACCAATAATGCGCTCACACGCGTCACACATTCAGAGGAAGTCCATATCACGTGACACAAGATCATTGGTCGTGACCCGGATTGAATTAACACTGCCGATGTGACGTACTCTAGCGTGAAACGTTATATTTAAAGAAAAATACACAATTTTTTTTGAACACAAATGGTTCACGGGGTATACTAGTATTTTTAGTTCAAAGTTTCAAAAACTTGGCACAGAAAGTTTCTATGGTTCTATTCCACACCTCATCTCACACTTTTCTCTGGAAACTCTTTCTATGGATTCTCTCTAGTTTTACTTGTCATCTCAAATTATTTACGAAAAATAACATCATCAAGCAATTTTCAATCGGACTTGAAGATTCTTAAGAAAACAAGCCAAAAGTTTAAGGTTTAGGAGAATTTTGAGCACGTTGAGGATGGAGTTGGCAAGCAATGGGTAGGATGTCATGGTGTTAGGGATTGTTTACAACACAGAATTTTGACGATGACACTGGCATGTAAGTATTCTAAATTTTTTGTTTTAGTTACTTTTTTTTTTGCAATATTAATATATATTTTAATATTGTCTTTTATGAAATTAGGGTGCATGTCGGCATGTAGAAAAGAAAAACGCTGATAATTTATCGCGGCAAGCTCAAATACATGGAAACTTAACTTTTCCATTACGACAATGAGAAGGCACGAGAGTTGACGGTGGAATTTGTTTAAAGAAACACATTCCAAATTGAACTTTATGCACCTGTTACATAAACATGTAAAAAAGTAAGAAACGTCAATGTAAAATAAGAAAAACAAATACAAAGAACATGTTGTTTATTCTAAGATACATAAACTCATAAGTTGTAACGCTCGGTTTCGAATCGTTTCATTATTCGGCCCGTGGTCTGATCAACGGTTATCATAAGGCTTAGGGCCTTGGGGAAGAAAAGATTTGGCCATTTTTAGGTGTGGGTGTTTTGGTCTAAGTGATCCAAGTGTTCGTTTGTGTTTCAAAATCCAAGGGTATAATTGTAATTTGTCAGTTTAGGGCATTTTATGAATTTTGGGTTTTGTTTGGACAGTTCTTAGGCGAAGGTGAGTTGATAGAAGTGTAAGGCTTCCTATCACCTTTCCGGGGATATAAAGATCGTTGGAAACAGACTTCAGATGAATGAATTATGACCTTTGGAGTGTTTTAGGGTTTAACAGGGAACCCTAGTACGCGCGGCGTACTGCTATGGAGGTTGGTACGTGTTGCATAAAGTGGTGTATGCTTCGCGTACTACGAAGGGTGGAGCGGGAGTGCGAGACCTCGTACGTTGGGCGTACGAGCGTGCGTAAGAAAACCCTAATTTTCCGTGATGTACCCTATATAAGCTTTATGTTAGCCTCTTTTGTTCATTTCTAAGCCATCCTCCATACCTTAAAAACTCTAATTTGTCCCCTAGCCCATGGTTGGTGATCTTGAGCTCTTGTGAGGTTTTTGTGGAGAGATTTATGGATCTAGAAGAAGAAGAAGAAGAAACTTGAAGACTTGTTATTTAGAGGAAGGCTTTGAGATCCAACATTAGCATCTCCTTTCGGTGGCTTGGGAGGTATACAGTTCAAATCTTGCCATTTTATTTCATGGATCTACTTCTTAGCTCATTTTTGGTCCTTTTGGTTGGTGATTGGGAGTTAAGGTCGTTTTGGGAGCTTGTCTTTGAAGATCTTGATATTTTATGGGTTCTTTGGTCATAAAGGTGAAAAATTTATGGTGGTTTTGGTCCCATGCATGTATTAAGTCAAGTATTAAGCTCCTTTGAGCTCTAGAGTCCAATTTAGCCATGCATGCACATAAAGTTGGCAATTATATGTGATTAACCACCTTGGGGAAGTCAGATCTAGGTTTGGATCAATGTCTTAAAGGATTAAGTGCTAATTTGGAGAGTTGGCCATGCCTAGTAAGTACGTTGGGCGTACAAGTATGTACATTACACGTACAAGCCTTTCATGTAATACATTGAGCGTACAGACTGAGTATGCCTCGCGTACACAACAGACTTGGGCTTCTTCGTTTCGGGCTTGGTTGTCTTGGTCCATGTTGGGCCATCTGGATTTTATGATTGGGCTTTTATGACTTGTTGGACTTTCTTGGGTAAAGGCCCATGAAAGGAATTGGGCCAAATTTGAAAATTGGGCCATATTTGGTCCTTAGATGCTTATTTTGGATTTTGGGCCTTTGGTTATCTAGTTTGGGCCTTGGCCTTGGGCCAAGCTTGAGGAAGGGTAAAAAGGTCTTTTACCCATATATTGGACTCATAGTGTGAGTCAGGGGCTAGATGTTAATGGGTTGTCATTTCTGGTATCTGATGGCACGTGGATTTTAGCGGATCTGCAGTCAGAGATTATTCGTAGGATTAGTTGTTGAGGTGAGTTTTGCTCACTGTACTTACACGTAGAAGGCACCAAGGCCAACCCTTTGGATTATTATCCTAATTATCATATGATTGTGTACTATAGTGATTTGTTAGATATGTATCATGGTAGATAGGATGGTGATGCTATGTTTAGTGATCTGTAAGATCTGCCTTATTGTCTTTTGATTGCTTATATGTTTAGATGTGTATATGTTGTCGTGGTATGGGTGGGTTGAGACTGTACTGCTTTGTGCCGTTAGTCAACAAACCTGGTAATGTTTATATTGATATGTTGTTATGATTTACTGGACTTATATGTGCTTTAGATATGTATATGTTGACATGTTATGTGTGGTTGGGTTGAGGCGGTCCTGCTATGCGCTGAAGGACTGTAGGGCGTACCTGTCAGGTTGAAGGCCCGGAGAACATTCCAGATAGGCTAAAGGCCCAGTAAGGCGTACCAGTCATACTGAAGATTCTGTGAGCGTACCAGATAGACTGTAGGTCAGTGGGTTATTCCAGTCAGACTGAAGGCTCTGTGGGCGTACCAGATGGACTGTAGGTCGGTAGGGGCATGTTAGTCATGCTGAAGGCCCTGTATGCATGTCGTTTCATGGTATATGTTATATATATGTGTGTTAGTACTTTGGGGGAACTCACTAAGCTTTGTGCTTACAGTTTTTGTTATATGGTTTCAGGTACTTCAGAGAATGATGGCAAGGCGAAGGTGTGACCGTATACATCCTGATTTTATGACATTGATCTTGGGAGGCACTGATTTTTAAATAATGTTTTGGAAACACTAATTTTGTAAACATTTTTATTAGTGAATGGGTCGTTTTGAAAAGTTTAAAATTGTTGAAAATTTTGGGATATTACAATACAATTGGCTGCTTTCCAAGTCTATCATTGCAAGTATCATACACCATTAAGAGTTTATAATTGAGTAAAATATACATTTAAATACTTAATAAGGAAATTACAATAAATTGTAAATGGTTCAACATTTCTTTGAAGGTGCATATAAACGCCAATGTGCCATGATTTTTCAGACTTGATCGAGGTTCACATCGGGATTTTTATGCTTATAATTTAATCCTTTAGAATAAAGGAAAAAAAAACTAATGTAGGAATGGTTCTCTTTTCATCTATTATTAACCTGCCTACTCTTGAGCTATTTGACTTGGGCGCAAGTCATTCTTTTGTATCCCAGTGCTTCAATAAGAGTTTCGATATG